ATTCGCATGCTAGCAGTGTCCGCATCCTTGCTGAGGCTGAAGGGCATTGCGTATCCATCGATAAAGGGCCGCTTGCCAGCGACCACGGTGCTTGGAACACGCGTGGGATTAAGCATGCCAGGAGATCCAGCGTCGTGTCCGCCAAGAATCGCCTCCTCCCGCTGGTTGTTCCCCGCCTCTCGTCTTAGCTCGATGAGTGCGTCGACCGGTGCAACCCCGTCGTCGAGCTCGCTTTGCTGTGAAGTCTGATGTTCGTCAACCACAGTACGACTCCTGCTTCTTGGGCGGCCTGGTGAGGTAGGTGGTGCCAGTGTAGCATCGTCAGCCTCGCCGTCGACATTCGACGGCATCGACACGCCGTGATCAGGCTGTGTTGCGGTTGTTTGCTCCACGGCGTCCCGCTGATCAGCCTTTTGCTCCCTCTCCACTGTCATTTCGTCATGCTTTGAGCCCCACAGCGACCACAATGCGAGACCAAGACTCCTCTTCTTCTTCTTGTCAACCTGCTCTGCGGGAACCTTCCTACGACCTGCCAAGGCGGTCGGCGGAGGGGTTTCACCATCGCCATAACCAACGAAGCCCGACGCGATGTCCTTGACAATCTTTTGATGCACTTTGGTTTTCGCGCTCGAATACCTGCTGTCCCACCGCGCCTTCGTCTCAAGCCATCTCCGGACGGGATCTCCTTGGCAACCCCAATGTCCCTCCTGTCCATTGTACAGCTGGCGAGCTCGGAAGGCGCCTCCAGGCTATACACGCCTCCGTGCCGCGTAACTCTTTGCCTAATCATGTGCCCTTTGAAAGGAGGCAGGGTGTCTCCGGCCTTTCCAATCTGGGCTTTGAGGGGGTTGTTGCCCGCAGCTGCAGACTCAATCTGAGCTTCCCACTCTGGCTGTGGCTGGTCGGTATCACTGCCGGAGGAAGAAATGACCGAGATGTCATCATCGTCCAGAATGTCGATTTCGACTTGTTGAGCTCGGGCGAGGGCCCACGCCCCAAATTGGGCAATGGACCGATACATGTACTTTGCGGGTCTTGTGAAACTGAGAGTCGGGGCGACATGGCAGAGGTCATCCCACACCTGCAGCTGAACGTCTGTTGGCTTGTACCGGTTGAGCTTCTCACAGTCCGCATCGTTCATCTTTTCGTCTGGTGGAGCGTATTTGGTGGGATTGGCACACTTGTGAGCCAGATAGATTTGTTCATCACGAAGGACCTCGCCGCCGCCGACCATAATGAGCAGGGGCGGAAGACCTCCCAGGGTTGGTTGCGTGACGGGGCTGACGAGTGGGTGGTCAAGGAGCTGGTTGGTGGTGTACATCTGGGGTAGAGTCAATTCAAACAGTTCTCAGTGTCAATCCAGGCCCAACCCACCTGAATCTGATCTTTGACGGTCGTGAGTTTTCCGTTAATGGTGACGGAAAGCAGGACTGAGGTCTTCGGCACGTCGGCTTCGAGAGGAGCCTCAGGCTTTGCTATTGGATCACCCTGTGCATTATGCCCTTCGGGTGTCTCCAGTTCAAATGGGTTACCTTGTTTGGCCTCTAACGTCCTTGGCTTCGCAGCGCCCTTATCTCCCTTCTTCGTCTTCGCAGCTTGTTCTTCCATCATGGCCAGGTCGTCCTCGTTGGGCGGCGGCCATGCCCGCGATGGCTTGTGGTGAAACCCAGACGAGGGAATATAGTCGAACGGTGTATCTCCCGCTACACTGGGAAAGGAATGTGTCAGGTCGACCCAGGGGCTGATGAGGATGGCGCCAGCAGGAAGAGGAATGCCTTGGTCACGCAGGGTACAGAGCATCGACATGACCATGCCGCCGCCGGCCGAGTCGCCTGCGAGGATGATCGTGTTTGGCTCCTGGATGGTGAGGAGGTAGAGATACGCCGCAATGCAATCCTGCAGCCCGCAGGGGAAGGGGAACTGCGGCGCCAGTCTGTACTTCGGCGCAAAGACCCGAGCCTTGAGCTTCCGGGCATGACGCTGCATCTGATACCTGTGCTCGTCGACGCTTCCGAAGAAGTAAGCGCCACCATGGACGTAGAGCATGACGCGCTTCCCGGGATCTCCATTCTTCTTGCGCTCTTGGTAGTGCGCTTTCATCTCGATCCATTCGGCCTTAAGCGGGCTTTTCGGTCTCCTCCACTGCCACCACTGACGGCCGCCGACTCGCGCAATGCCTTCCTCGCCCAACTCGGCCTGAAGCAAAGTGGCGGCCTTCTCGAGTAGCTGGTCGGCGATTGTAACCTCGTCAACCCGCACCCATTGCGGATGAGGTACCCATTGTGCGGTAAAAGCTTGAAGTTCTTCCACGGTATGCTGAGAGGCGAACTGGAGAAAGGACCTGACGAGGTGGAGGCCTTCGTCGTAGGACAAGTGGGCGGTGGGCTTCTGTTTGAGAGGCTGTCGGTTGAGGTACTGCAAGCCAAGATGTGTCAGTGGGACCTCTCGTAGGGAGGACGAGAATCTGGACCGTCCACCCCAAGTCTTTGGATGTGGGAATCAGCCTCTGGAGTCGGGGGTTTACACACATGGGACAAGAGTGTGGAGACGACGGTCGGCGTCACGGCCAATGACACAGACGTCGTATTGAGCTTGAGGGGGTTCATCGTGGTATGATTCGTGGTTGTGTCGCTATCGGAGGCGTTGTCGTGTGAGGCTGTGATACAGCGAACCAAGCTGCCATGGGCGACGCGCCGAGCTGGGGACCGTGAAGCTTATCGTGGGAGCAAGCTCAGAGCTCGGGGCAGGCGATGGGAATTGAGACAAGTCCAGTTACCTCGTGCTTCAGAAAGAGAGCCAACAGCATTAGGGGCAGTTCCTCATGTTATTAGCCCATCTTGGCCCCAGGGTCTAGTGATGTCATTTCTTGGCGCACATGCCAACGGATACCTGCCCACAGGCGGGCAGGGCGGGCTCACGGGCACCTTCATCTTCCGCAGCCAGTGGCTCTTTCCCCTGGAGCCGGATCCGTTTGCGGGGAAAGGGAGGCCCTTTCCTGACCTGAGGAAGTCGTCCCCCCCCCACCGCACTCAGCCGTACTGTGCACACAATACAGTGCTATCCAGCGCCCGCACGCATCGCTGCACGCAGAAAAGATTTCCTATCTGACAGCGACGAAATGTCACCCCTCCTCGTGCATAATGCCCCTCCAACACATAGACTGACCACTCGGCCGACCATCGCAAACAGCAGTCATGGCTTCAAACGGTGCCCCCGCGGCTCTGACCGCAGGTAATGCCATTCTCTCCACCGTTCTTTTTTGCAACACGATTCTCTGACCAGCGTGATACAGCCGCCGCGCAAAACAACTTTGAACAAGCCGTCGCCCTCTCCCTCCACACATGGCCCGCCCTCACCTTGTCCGTCCAGAACAACTGGGGCGGCGAGGCCTCTTCCGACAAGCGCGATTGGTTCGCCGGTGCCGTCGTCGATCTGTTTGCGCCGTTTGAAAAGGTTGTCAACGGCGTTGCGACCCCCAAAGACGCAGCGGCCGCCGCCGAGGAGGAGCCCGATGTTGAATACGTGGAGGAGTTCCTCCTTCAGGTCATGTGCGACGAGTTTGAGGTCAACATTGATGATGAGTCTGGCTTTGATGTCGCCCAGGCCATCATCAAGTTCCGCACCGACTGCGCCAAGGGCAAGTTTGACGATCTCAGCGAGCTGCAACGCAAGTGGGAGAGCAAGAAGGGAAAGAAGGTCCAGGTTGCCCAAGGAGAGAGTCCCAACCAGGAGGTCGACGATGACGACAGCGACGACTACTCGGACGACGAAGACGTCAACATGGATGAGGCGCCTCAGCTGGTACAGGTTCCTAAGGAGAAGCCCGCGCCAGAGGTGGACGAGGATGGCTTTACCACGGTGTCGAGGAAGAGGTAGACGAGACAGGAAGCTTGATACAACAAACAGCGAATGATTTTGACCAAGACCTGGGAGTATGGACCAAGTGTGTCTCGAGCGAGAAAACACCTCACGCATTCACAAGCTGCCGCTCTGAACGGCCGTCAAAAACGAAACCCCTGAAATCACCCGCCTCTCCGGAACGCCAAAACCCAAAACTTCGATCACGCATTTTATTCCCAGTCCTCGTCGCTGTCGTCGCCCTTGCGAGAGTCCTTTGGGCTGCTGGGCGCCTGGCTGGCAACGCCTGACCGGGCACCCACAACATCGTAGCTCGCCTCGCTATCGGCCTGAGACTTCTCGTCGTTCGACGTACGCGACTCGGGCGCAGGCTTGAGGCTTGAAGCGGCTGTGGATGGGTGAATTGTGGTCGAAGACTCCACAGAAGCTGGTCTCGCGATCTTGGGCTTCTCCTCGGCCTTTTCAGTCTTCTCCTGCTCTGATTTGGCCGGGGGAGACTCGTCATCTGAGTCGTCGTCCCAACCGACCTCGTCTTCGGCGGACGCGGCTGATCACGCTCTGTTAGCCGTATATCCATAGCCTCGTAAACAGTATCCAAAACTCACCCTTAAGGAGATCTCGCCGCCTCGTCTCGGCGGCATCGAGACCGTGACGCAGGAAGTAGTACCGCTGCCAAAATTCGGCATAGGGCACTTGATCCGGCACCAGCTTCTCCATTGTAGAACGGAGCTCGGGGTACTTGGAAAGATCCTCCGCAATGTCTGCCGTCTTCTTCTCGGCGTCAAATGTCGTCGCCCAAGTCTTGAATTCCTCCGTGGCGGGATCCTTGGCGAAGCTCTCCGGGCTCGTGTGGACAGCGTGCAGCTGTGCGTCCTGGCGCGAGGTGTGGATGACACGCTTTCCTTGCGCGTCCTTGCTCTCAAAGAGAACCGTGTTGCTCTGGCTGCTTGCCTCCGTAGGCGGTGCTATACTGACGGCATCCTTGAGGAATTTGGAGATGTTGGTGCCGAAACGAAGCAGCGCCTCGTCGGCGGCATCCTCGGCCTTCTGCAGATCCTTCAACCTCTTGGCAGCCTCGGCGCGGATCTTCGACAGGTACGTCTCGGAGTTGCTCAGCGTATCTTCTGATGTCGAGGCTCGGGCCTTGGTGGGGGTAGCCTCTCCCTTGTCGTCGCCCTCATTTGTCTTGGTCCCAGATGATTCCCCCTCCTGCGCTGTCGTCGTCGTGTCGAGAGTGAGGGCCCGCGTCTGGCTGATAATGGAGCTCTGGAGTCCGCTGAGGCCCTTTGCAGCATCTTGTCCCAGCTCAGTGACCTCTTTCGAAGCCTCGCGGTACACTGACTGGCCCTGATCTCCTGGGTCAGATCATAAACTCTCCTGCCCTCCTTCGACAAGGAAAGTTGGAAATGGGGAGGTCGCGCACCTGTTTGACGGCGTTCCCAAGGAAACCGCCTAGCCTAACGCCCCACGGGCTGTTGGCGAGCGCTTTGTACGCTTCCTGAATGTCGTCGTTCAGGCTCACTTCGGGCTTGCCGTCATTCTTGTCGCCGTCCTTCTTGTCGTCATCTTTCGGATAAGCATCCTGATTGATCTGGTCGTACGCGAGATCCATGGTGTTAACACTGCAATCTGTGCTCCGCGAGAAGGTTCACAAGGGGTAACAAAAGCTTGTGATTTGGTTTTCGTGAGCTCGCTGACGATTGTTTTGCTGTCATGCACTTCCCAATAGAATGTGCTTGAGGCTCTGGTCCCCTGACGTGACCTCCAGAGAGATCCAAGCGGGGTTGTCTGGTTTCCAGCCACCAATGGCGCTAGACCAACCCAGCTAGCGCCCCATCCGCAGCTGGAGCTTCCGAGCCGCTTGATTCCAGGTCGGGAACAACCAACCACCACGTTTCGGTCAATGCCGTACAGAATACATGACTACGCAAGATATTGACAAGTGCCTATCTAATTCAATCCTTTGCCTACTTACCCAGGAGCGCACGTGGACGGAACGCTTACTGGGTCAAGACACAACCACAATTCCACTTCTTGTTGAGCCAGGCCACGTAGACCACGAGCTCGACCCGCCTTGGATGTTACCTGAACTTTCTGGTCGACATCACTGTGATTGGGGCACCAGGCGACTTTCGACGTGCCATACTGCGCGTCGCGTTCCTGCCCACTCGTACGACATTGTGGGTGCTTGAATAATAGCCACAATCAAGCTCGATGGTCTGCAGGTTTCACAAGCTCCCTGGATAAGAAGACACTGAAAGTAACATGGGAACCCCTAACAGCTTAATGTAGAAACAAAGTAGTCCAGCCAGCTCCATAAAAATGCAGCACCATGTTAATCGTTTCGCTTCATTGACAAAGCTTCTCTCACTCTGCCGTCCTATCGTATGCGAGACGGCCTTCAACGTACGGTCTAGACTCGGATCTCGACGGCGAGGATTGTTGGCCAATGGACTCTCGGTGGAAGGTGTGTTTGATATCTGGAATATTACGGGCTCATCTCTGGTTGACGTCTAAAACTGTCGTGGTCGGAAAACCGGCAGGGGATCAACCTATACCCCTCTATTTGGTGGTCCGAGGACTTGCCTTGAATTTACGGCCGGCCTGGACTGTGCAGTGTCACTTGAAAAGAACAGAATGTACATGGGTGTCTATACGATCCGCCGGGCATGCAACGACGCGTAGACCTTGCCCTCAACACTACTTAGGCCAAATTGTAAGCTCTGGCAGCTGGGCTATACATGTAGTTTGCCTTTCGATATCGTAACAACGAGTTACATGACTCACCGCCATCCCTAACCGTTCAGGTAGCTTATGCCGCGTGAAGTCAAGGGTCTACCTGGTGGAGGCTGAGACCTCGTCCCGGAGAGGCCCGGATGGCAGCGGTTGTGTAGGGATGGCCACTACAGACGAGGTCAAGGTTTTAGTTGATCACGTGTGCGGGGCGTCGCATGCAAGGGGTTGCGCCATTCGCCGGGTCTCAGTCCGTTCAACCTGTCTTTTAGTCGGGGAAGTACGTTACTCTGTCGCAAGCCTTGAAAGGATCACGACGGTAACAGCAACGGAGACATCGGGATTAAGCCATGCACCGCTCGGCTTGGAATCACGGCCTGGCTAGGCCTGCGGAACACTGGCTACCTGAGCAAGTGACCAAGCAAGGGACTCCATCGTGTTTCAAGAATGCATTGAGTGAATCTTGATGTCAACTTTACGTGTTGATGAGAACATATCGTCTTTTAATGCCGATGGACGTATAATCTCGATACGCCTGGCTGCTTGACAGACTCAGGTTCGGCTGATCCCAAGGACATCATCCCGCCTTGAGCCGGTGGCTGTATTTCTACGGATCCCCCGCAACGGGGCATTCCGGCTCCTCGCCAGTCAGGTCACCAGACACGTTACCCATACGGTGCTGCTGTTTGCGCACGACGTGCGGCACGTGGCAGATGAGGATGACGAAGACTATGTATGCCGTTAGTCTAGGTAGAGGGAGGGGGTACTTCCATGTGAGTGAAGGGCGTAATGACAGATTATCAGGATTCTCCTCGCCAGGCTGGCTCCAGCAGCTCGAGAGGTGCAACGACGCTAGAGCGGTAACGGTATGGCTTCCAGTACGCTGTGTGTTTGGTAAGGCATGTGTAGTTTTTGGAATGGGGTCCTGAGTCATCTCCACGTCTTTACGCGGAACGGAGTCGCCGCCATCGGGGTCGGGGCATAATCCGGCCGTAGCTGCTTTGTCTGGAAGGACTGGCGTCTTGCCACCATGACATGGAGTACCTTATCTACGCTTCCACTTCAGCAGTTCGATCGCTCCAGAGCTCTGGGATCGACGCGGCTTGCCAGTGACGGTTCAGAGCCTATTCCTCAGTGCGCTACTGTTGCTTTGGATAGGTGCATTTGGAAGGACAGGGCCAAGTGGCGAATTTCCCAGCTCAAACGCCTCATGGTGGATAGGTAGAGACGCGAGAGCTGGTGAGACGGGGCGCTCTCGACAGTGCCAGGGACAGGACTGGCTTTTGAGTTGGCTGGGGAGACAGCTGGATCCTGGCAGGTGCCGAACAGGCCGCGCCTGCCGTGCCTCGATTCCCTTGATCCCCAATGGCGCTACCGGGGAAAGCCCACACACACACAAGCACACACACCACTGCACACATCCTAGTTAGGTAGTTAGGTACTTTTCCCCTTTGCCCCTTCTCCTTCCCTCCCACCTCCACCCGCCCAGGCAAGCCCAGTTCCGGTAGCAGCACCTCCTCCCCCAAGCAGCCCAAATCCCTGCCCCTCCATTTTTGCCTGGCAGTGCACAGGCTGACAAATTGACGTCGAAGGGGCCCATCTGGATTTCTTCCCCTCCTCTCGATGCGATTCCAGTCCCTCCACCCACATCACTGCCACTCTCACAGCAACATTGCCGTCGCATGCCAAACTCGTCCGTCTGGTACCCCCAAAGCATCAACCAACCGCACGCCGAATCCCGTCGAACCTGACGTGCAGAATCCAGAGGCAGGTCGACAAATCTGTCCTCGTCCCTCCCTACGTCCTCCCGCGCGCCAGGCAGACATCTGCACCTCAAAGGCATCCAAATCCAACTCCCCCCACCTGGACCCTTCTTTGCCTTCGTCACCTCTCCAAACCGCGACTTGCACCCAACATTCGCATCAAGTATCCCGACCGTCAAGCATATTTCTCATCGTAGAAATTGCCGGACTTCCATACAGTCAAATTCTGCGGCACATCGCAATTGTGGACACCTCCATCACACCTGGTTTCTGCGATTTTATTGACCCGAGTGGCTGTTCACTGAGTCACTTCACACAACCCGATCATCGTCATTCTGTCGCCGTTTGGTCCTGCCTTTCCTGGCTCCAGACGGCCCAGTCTTCTTCGCGCGTCGTCGCACAAGCCTCACATTGAAAACTTGACCCCTATCACTACCACGACTACACACCACCGCCCATTCCTCTCAACAGACGCGATGGCTTTCGACCCAACGCCCAAGCGGGGTCAAACAACCTCTTCCTGACTCCGCAACAACAGAGCCTTCTTTTCGCCGCTCTCAACTCCAACAAGCGAGCATCTTATCCCTCGCCTGTTGTCAAACATGTGTCCGAGTCACCCTCCTCTCTCCAAACATCTCCCGCGCGCGGACCGGAGCCAGAGGTACTACTGATACTCCCTACCTCGACAATTATGACTATGATTTTGGTGTATCGAGCTTTTATATTGAATGTCGCGGGCACCAGCCTAGCTTCCATGATTTTTGGGCGACCTGGCCTGCCAGACAGCGTCAATGAGGCGAATCTTCAGACAGCGTGCTCACCCTGATGGATGGACGACGACGACGAGATCCAGTTCATGTGGTGGATTCCGGAGAGGTGCGAAGAAGCCCGGGCGTAAGCCCTGACTTCAGAGCCCAGTTCGGTAAGTTAGGCTGAGGATCAAATTTTTTCGTTGCTCGTCTGCTGACAAGGTGATCTACAGAAGAGAAAGGCTCAAAACCGAGCTGCCCAGCGAGCCTTCCGCGAACGCAAGGAGAAGCATCTCAAAGACCTCGAGGACAAGGTTGATGAACTTCAGAAAGCGTCCGAGGCAGCCAACAACGAGAACTCTGTACTTCGCTCACAAGTCGACAAGATGACGTCTGAGTTGGCCGAGTACAAGAATCGCTTCGCCGCCATGAACAGCCGATCTGTCTCACAGAGCAAGACGACAGGTCTTGGTTTCGGCGCGTCTGCCCTTGGCAACTTGAATGACGTGAACTTCCAATTTGAATTCCCCAAGTTCGGCGTCTTGCCCGGACCACCAGTTGCTACCAAGGCCTCCCCGCAAAACTCAACTGCATCGGTTTCGCCTCACCAGTCTTCGGCCCGCAAGCCTATGAGCCCGCCTCAATCAAAGTCGAGCAGCGAAAGTCCTCTCGGCGTTGGTTCCGATCTCAACGCACTGCCCAAGGATGACATTTCCAGCTTTTCGTCTTTCTTCAACCCTGCCATCACACGCGGCTCCATGTCGACTTCGCGCGCTAGCGTTGATTCCAACCCATACAGCTTCAACAATGGCACCGCTACCAGCTCTCCATCGTCATCAACGCAGTCGAACGCTGGCCCCAGTTCGTCATGCGGGACATCTCCTGAGCCGTTCACTCAGTCGCCCATGGGCTTCAAACCTGTTGAAACCATGACGACAATTGGCGAGGAGCAGACAGCATTGACCACGGGTCAAAACAGCAATAGCAGCAACAGCAACCTGGGCCACTTTGCAAGTGTCGAAAACAGCAGCTTTGACTGGCTTGCTCAGCAAAACGGTGGTCAATTCGACCCCCAACTTTTCGGTGATTACCGCGAGACACAGACTACTGTGCTTCCTACGGCAACGTTTGACGACAGTTTCTTTAATGATGCTCTCGACACGGATTTCTTCATGCCATATAACATGGCCCCCAGCCCGGCTGTTCCGAAGAAGAGCAACAACTTGATCGATCAGATTGACGCGGCGAACAACGCAGACGATGAGCTGGCTAAGCCTGATCAGATTGAAACCAACTACGGTTGCACCAAGGTTTGGTAAGTTGAAAAGATGTCCAGTAATCAGCAAAAACAGTAACTGACTAAGATCTTGCAGGGAACGACTACAAAACTGTCCCAAGGTGCAGAATGGCGAGTTTGACCTCGATGATCTTTGTTCCGAGTTGCAGAAGAAGGCCAAGTGCTCCGGTCAAGGCCCCGTCGTCTCGGAAACAGACTTCCAAAAAGTGGTTCAGAAATGGATGGGCAAGGACGCGGCATGTGTCGGCCCCCCTGCGCCCGTCAACGCCAGCCAGCATTGAGGAGCGGCAGCCAAAAAGGCCCTTTGGCAACGCGGAGCAGTGACCAGCAAATAATGGTCTGATAACGAAACGGCGTTTTTTCTGCTTATTGGATGAAAATGGCGGTCCCTGGTTCAAGAAGAGCCCGAACCGACCGAATATCACAGACGGAAGGAACATGGATGGGGCGAACGGTCTTCTTTTGAGACATTGGGTTGAGACTAGTTTGGTAGGTATGCAACGGGCAGGCGGCATCAATTGTTAGCCTCGACCCTCACAACACGGTCAGAAGGCGGGAGGTCACCCCACTCTTCCTTTTTCTCCGATTATGGGAGACAGTGGCGGGAAAGTTTTCATATTTTGATGATATCAGGGGATGGGGGTTTGGTGATTTGTGGTTTTTTGCGCAATGTCACAGTATCGAGTAACACAAGTCCGGTTGGTCATGAACAAATTTACAAATGAATAAGAACATGTAACTCGGAGTTCGAGATGAGATCAAAAGTATCGAACGTTCAAAACGTGATGGCTGCATCTAGCTATCGTTGGTTGCTACGCGCGTCAAGTCAGGCAGATGTCATGTATCTAGAGGCCCTTAGATATCTGTATACGGGGTTGAACTTTCCGCTCCCTAGACCCAAGATAAAATACAACGCACGCCGAGGTGACGGAAGGAAGGTTGGCTGGCAATGCATGTTGAGGTATCATTAATGCTTTCTAAGATCAGATCTCGTCTCCTTGTTCATGTCGACACCCGAAACCCCGAAACCGCCCGGCACAACGTCCTGTGGTAGGCCGCCCCTTATGACTCGAGCACAACGAGGTCGGGCGAGCCGCGGATTTTTCGTTTTCCACAGGACGATATCACTATCTGCCCTCCTCATTATTTCAACAAATGTTTGTACACTGGCAAGCTCGCCGTGCTAATGTCTATACCGGAAACCCCAATTCTGGAGAGGAAAAAAGGAAGGGGGGAAAGCCTCGCGTGCTCATCTGCCTTCGGTATCCCCGAGCCGGCGGAGAAACGCCATTGGCGACGAGGTTGAAGGAGAGGAACATGAATTCGTCAGCGTCGTTGCTTTATTTGAGAAACAGCCGGCCATGTCCTCGAGTCGGATCCTGCTTCGTACGTGGTGAAGGAGAGTTCCTTTGGCACGGGAGCCCGGCACACATGGGCCGCGGAAGGATTCGATATCGCCCAAGTAGCAGGCGGTTTGCGCAGACTGTGAGATGTCGTGTCTGGGGCTGACAAGCCTCACGGCCCTCAGAGTGACACGCCATCTTTCGGTTTTCAGGCAACGTTCGTGGTGCGGCCAGTCTAAAGTAAGGAACAGCCGACTTGCGCTTTCTGGACCGTGCATGGCGCCGTTCGTCCAGCTGGCTCACTTCCCGGCCAGGGTTGCTCGCGTCAACTCTTCGGGATCGTCGCAGAGGTATCTAGCCAATGACAACACGGGCACCTTCCTTGCCCAATACACCTCGCTCTTTGGGCTTCGGGCTGTGGCCTCGGCCTTTCTTGCGACTCAAGAAACCAAAAACGCCGCCTGAGCCTTCGATCTTGTCGCCGACAGCATTTGCGTCAGTAGGAAGCGTGGCATCCTGCCGGGCCAGATCGGACCAGCTACCACCACCGTCGAGTGTTACCTGGACGCCACCCGCCGGACTCGTGATCCTCTTTGCAGTCGGCGGTGCCGCTCTTTGGTTCGCGTAGTCTCCAGAATGCTGGGGGATGGGTGGTGGTGGGGGCGGCACCACAGAAGCAGGTCGTCGGCTGGCGCCTTGCACGGCTTCTTGTCCATTTTCACGGCTTGGCGTCTTTTGTAGGATGGCGGGTTGGTATAGCTGCTGCTGGGCTCCACCATTGATAATCGCCATCGTAGCCGGCGTCGCTTCGTCCGTAGTCAAGGCTTGCGGTGCTTGTGCCTGGTTCATGTCGCCGTTCAGGCCCCCGTTCAACGCAGCTTGCTCCGTCATCCTATTGAGATCAGGACCAGTACCAGCACCTACACCAGTGCCAGCACCAGCGCCGGCGCCGGCAAGAACAGCAAGCTCGTACTTCTTGTACGCCGCGACTGTGTAGTCGAAGGGCTTGAAGTCGGACTCGATCATGCGATACAACTCATCCTCTCTGATCTCCTTGTCTGACGCATCCTCCTTGAGACGCTCTCGTGGTTTTTGGCGGCGAGCTCGGGCTTCGAGAGGTGCTTCTTCAAGCAAGAGTTCCTCCAGATCGTAAGTCGCATCAAAATTTGTCTTGTCCGAGGCTGGTACGAAAACGGGGTCAATTCGCTTCTGCTCCAAGTGATCAAAGTTGAGCACAGCAAAAAACTCATGATTGATAAAGCTCTCCCAGGTACAGCCTAGTCGTTTGTCTGGATTTGGCTCCAGAGCGTCGCGGATGGCGTACAAACATGGAAGAGTGACAGGCGGCGAAGTGATAGGGTACTTGGGGCTCGCAGACTGGATCTGGTTGCTGAGGGTGCTCTCAGAACTGCCATCGAAGGGTCGCTGTGTGAGGTGAGTAAGAAGAAGCTCAACACAGGCCTTGGGGAATGATATCACAAACCTTGTTGTAAATACACTCGTAAAACAAGACGCCCAAGGACCACCAGTCTGCGCGAACATCATAGCCTTTGCCAGCATAGACCTCTGGTGCCAAGTAGGCTAACGTGCCCGACTTGCTTGTCAGCACCTTGCCAGGAATGACATCAGACGCAACGTTCTGTGCACATGTCAGTAATCAAGCAACACAGTCGTGTCGGTTCAGGAGCTCACAAAGTCCGTCAGATGCACATGACCATCTGCGTCGAGTAGGACGTTGTCGGGCTTGACATCTCGGTGGATGATACCTTGGCCATGGATGTAGCGTAACGCGCAGCCAAGCTCCCCGATCCAGAACCGCACTGCGTCCTCGGTGAACGTTTTCCTCGAGATGTGGAATCGCAAATCACCACCGCTCATCAAGTCAACGACCAGATACCTGTTTCAGCTTGATCAGCCTCGGTGTTGAGTGTGCGGGACGGCGACTTGTATCTCACATGTACTCTATATCTTGAAAGCTGTATCGTAAGTTGCAAATGAATGGATGGTTCACATGCTCCAGCATGCGTCGCTCGCGAATGATATTTCGCACGCTCTCGGAGCGCACAACTGAGTGAGAGGGAAGAGTCAGCACGGGAAAGACATTGTTGCGGGAAGGAAGGGTGCCGACGGCAAGCGACAGCCGTGTCTCGAATCCGGGCAGGGTGCCGTACCTTCGTCTTTCCGAATGTATTTCAGTGCGAATGATAGGTTCGTATCTTTCCTCTCGACGATGCGCACCTTGCCGAAGGCGCCTCGACCGACAACTCGAAGAAGACGGAAGTGGTTGAGGTTCACTGTCGACAAGAAAGAGAGCACCCAAGTCAGCCTATCTGTAGGGACAGAGAATGAGGGGGGGGGAGGGGGGAGGGGGGAGGGCGTTGCGGGAATCTGCGTACCTTCGCCGTCCATATCGACGGGCTTGCCCTGACTGTTGCCCATGGCGAGCTATGGGGGTCTTTCACGCGTGCTCTTGTCGGTATCGGTAGTGGCCTGGGTTCTTCGGGTTCGATCATAGGGCAGGGCGTATTCGAGATCAATTGAACACCATCGTCCAAGGAAGTCGGTGTCGAGATGGAAGGGGCGAGCAGAAGACGAAGTGGAGTGGAAGTCGAAAGCAGGGAGTGGAGTCGTCGCAGTCAGCTGGTTCGGGCCTTGACAGGGGATGGGAGAGTGCGGAGCAGGGTCCAATTGCTTCGAATGACGGCGTGGGCGTGAACAATAAACGGCCGGGGGGAGAAGATCAGAAACGATAGGGCAAAGCACACTAAAGCAGGCTAGGTTCGGGTGGCCGACCTGGTAGGAGAAGATCGGGGTTTATTGCGGGCGTTGGAGAAACAAGATCCGCAGCGCAGTTGAAAGGCTGGCTCGCAAAAAGCGAATAGCGAAGCGAAATATGGAGAGTTGATAGGAGACTAGAGGCGGAAGGGGCGAGGGGCGAAGGACGAAGTACGGAGCAGGAAGCAGGCGGCAGCAAGATGAAGCGCCGTGTTAAGGGAAGGGCGACGTGTGCTATATGGTCGTAGCGTCCGCGGCGCCATCGACCATGGACGTCGTAGATAGGCAGTCCAAGTTGATTGTGCCTTATTTTATTTCATCAGTCTCCTCCTCTCTCTCGTGGGCGTCCGTTCGGTGGCAGTCGCCTCGATAGGGAATTAGGATGGAGCCTTGGAAGCTCGGTAATGTGTCGTACCTCCAATGTTCCCACGCCGACCTCACGCTTGCAGGTGGAGGGGGGTAGCAGGGTGGCAGGGTGGCAGGGTGGGAACCGGCAGGCTTGTATGACAGGGGACAGGGGTGGTTTCACAAAGCAGTGTACCGGCTGGGACAGTAGCACGGTGCAGAGCCTGATGGTCGGGCCCCAGTGGTTGATTCGGTTGATAGGCGGCCAGGTATGGTAAATTGGCCGGCTGACGGAATCGATTTCGGAGGAAAGGGGGGGGGATGACGGTGGCGTCTCGGAAGACAAAGGGGACAAGGTGACAGGTTTCAGGCGTCGTGGTCAAGAGATGATGCGCATTGGTGGCGGGCAGCAGACGGGAGAAAGCTTCCAGAAGAGAAGGCCAAGGTGATAGGTTGATGATGGAGAAGGGCGCGTGTTTCCCGGCGGCTTGGGCGGCGTCTGGGAAGAAAGAGGGTTTGGGGAACGGGGAATGGACCGGGGGGGGGGGCCAGGAAAAAAGACGAAGTGATCCCACTGAGACGACGGTGATCGTGATCCATTTTTTTAGTGGGTGAGTTAGGTTGTTCTAGGGCGACATAATGACTTGGGAATGGAGACTCAGAGGGACGCCTACGTGTGCGTGCACCTTGCCGAGGAACAGAGGGAGAGAGAGAGAGAGTGAGAGTCCGGAGACCGTCGGAGCGCCCGTCAGCTAGCTGCGACGGCAAAGACCAAAACGGAGGCAAAAACCACACGCTGGCCAATGGCTCATGTGGAAGCCTGGCAATCAGTGGACAAGCGTGGGTTAGGATGGGGTTGCGCCTCCTGCTGCCTCATCCACATGGGCGGCACGCCGCACCTGTCTCTGGCTCGTGTTGCTGGCGTGGTACCGACAGGTACATGTGGGCGGGTGGGCGTCGGCCAACAAGGTTCACCTTCCCGTCTCTTGCCTCGTGCCTCCCTCCGTATCTACCTCCCTGAACCTGTCTCCTGCTTCATGCTTCGTGCTTCGTGCGTCGTGCCTGCCTCCTGACTGATACCTCCTGCCACACT